GTGGTACTTGCTGGACCGGACTGGTACTTTCTAGACTCTCTCCAACATGGGCTTGCTTTAATCACACCACTTGCCCACTTGCCTGCACCACTTGACCACTTGCCTGCACCACTTGACCACTTGCCAACCTTCTAGAAGGACTGAAGCTAGCCTTCTAGTGTATAGGTCTACGGATCGAATCCTGGCTACCTATAGACCTACGACAGACCTACCTACCACTGGCGGTTCGACAGGTCGCAGGTTCAACTCTTCGAGTTGACGCTGGTATTGTACACAGGTAAGTTGGGAAACTAGGGATCGAGCCCTGGGATCTACCTCAGCTACCACGAATTGGTGAATACCGTTTCACCCACGTTACGGCCTGGGGAACCCTCGCAGCATTGATTGCTTGACTCGGAAGGATTGACTGCCAGTTAAGCCCATTCAATAATCGAGGACAGTCTCCTTATCCCCCTAGTTTTTTTTGTTTTTTTTTTTAAACAGTTCCTTATGGCCCTGGCTCCATTTCCATTCTGGGGAGCATCAGTCTGGTTCCTATTCCACCGGCAAGTCAGAAAAAATAATTACATCATATAACACCCTCATGCTTCCTTCCGTCTGGCCGAAGGAACCCTGATCAGCATTGATTACTCCAACATCGTGAAGGATTGACTGTCAGCTTGCCCTGCTTCCATCTCTCCTCTCAGGTTACTATAAGAGCCTGTCAGATAACGCATAAATAGCAAGAGAGGTCTAAGCAGCTGCAACTTCTTCCAAACTCTACGTACACCCTAAATCCCGCATATGAGCCTCGTGATGTCTCTAACATTCTCACCCCTGCTCGTCTTGTTTCTGTCCACACCCTCCAGCCTAAACCCTAAACCCTACACCCTAAACCTTAAACAAAATTACTCCTTTACCATCTGTTCCACACGTACCATCAGCTGCCGGCTGCCGTACGCGTGTCTTGGATGCTCTTCCAGGCCCAGAGCGGAGCTGGTTCCTCGTGTACCCAGGTTTTCAGCTGGAATACCGACTAGACATAATTGATTTTTCTTTTTTTTTTTTGGGGGGGGGGGGGGAGCACCATCTGATCTAGGCTCAACGGAACTTATGTTGCCCTAAAGTCCTGTTGCTCCTCCTGGTCTGGAGTTGTCCTCCTCTGGGGGATCGACGAATTGTGCCAGTCTTTCCATCTCATTTGTAGATCTTGGATCTCAGCTATCTTCCCTTGAACAAGCCATACCTTGTTGAAGTTGGCAACCAACTCTTGCTGTTTCTCTGGCTTTTGCTGAACTTGGCGTCTGACCTTCTTCCATTGACACCGGATATCGGTCTCCATGAACTGTTTCGTAGTCGCCAATACTTGTTCAGTCGGATTCTTGTCAATTGTCCTGTTGCATCTCTCCTTCCAGATGGCCCACAGTGTCACCTTGTTGATAATTCCGAACCAGACGCGTTCAGATTTGGGGGCAAGAGATGGGGTGTTAGTCCATAGGAGAAGTTGGATTGGGTGTTCGGGTAGGGGAGAGGGAAATAAGTGGTCCCAAAGCGCTGAGGCTCTTGCCCACAGGTCAGTAGCGAGTTTACAAGTGATCAGGCAGTGTATTATGTCTTCCTGTTCGTTGTCTGAACATGCCCCACATTCTTCTGAGCTGTTCGGATCACTGTTCTTCCTTCGCATATGTAGCCAGGCGTTCATTGGGAGGGCATTGTAGGTGATCAGCCATTGGAGACTTCTTATTTTAACTGGGTGAATTGTTTTGTACTTCCGCCTGAGGAGTTCCACAATTGGTTCCATTCTCTGACCGAGCAGTTTGGTCCATCGTTCTATGATTATTGGCACGGGGTCTTTGGTTCTTAGAAACTTTTTATATCCCATCTTAACTGTATACTGTGTTATCTGAGTAGGATTCTTACAGAATCTGCTAGCTTCTGGGAGCCACGCCCATTCATGTGGGTCGAATTCAAGGTCTTGGATTGCTGTGTCCGTGTGGAATATACTCTTCAGCCAGTTCCCCAATACTCTCACCTTTCTCAACGTGTAGGAGTTCAAAGTTACTTCTTGTGGGTCAGTATTGTGAATGGCGAGGGACTTCGGGTTAGATCTATCTATGGGGAAGGAGATGAAGACTCCAGCATGAGCTTGGCCAAGGGGCCTGCGAGAGAACTGATACGCTTTCATGGGTACTATTTCCTGTGTCAACAATCCCCATTCCCCTGCTTTCCATGAGAAGTTTTCTTTTATGAGTTCTTTCCAGCTATCAGGGATACTGTTGACCAATGTTGACAGATTCTCATCCCGGCGGTGACATCCCTTTAGTAGCGTTTTTAACCGATTCTCATTTATCCAGTCTTTTTTTCTCTTCGTCCTTGATGTGACTTACCTTACAAACCCCATGTCTAATCCAGGAGAGCCATCTCTGGCCTCCTGCTAATGACAATGGCTGGTCGCCTGCATCTTTAATGTTCTGATTCCCGAACAGAGGCTGCCACAGCACCTCTTCTTTGGATTTGGGTTTCTTAACCTGCTTAGGCATTATCTCCCTCCAGATCCTGATAAGTGTTGTCCAGTACGGGGTGGGGTGTTGTGTCTCATCTCGCTGCGAGGTTGCTCGGTGTCGTCTCCTTCCGGTTTTCAGCGTCCAATCCTTGTTCATTACCCAAAAGAGACCTGACATGTTATCTGGGGTCTGAACTGGGGCTAGGGATCTGATACTATCCAGCGCTAATTTGTGCCATGCCAACCTAGGCTGGGGTAACAGTTTAACTACCCATTTGATCTGACGAGCTTTGGTTTCTTGTCTAGGATCGATTATCCCTAGACCCCCCTTTGAGGACCTTCCAGTTATGTAATGCCAAGCTATCTTAGGAATGTACTTTGTTTTGTTAGGGTCCCCTGACCAGAGGTATGCCCTTGCTCTGCTGTTTAGCTCTTTAGTAGTTGAGTCTGGTATAGTCTAGATGGAGGCTATATACCACATCATCAAGAATACGGACATGTTAATCGTTAAGGCTCTTCCCAACAGCGAGGTGAAAGTATTGCCCCATCTTCCCATCCTATCTATTTGATTCGTTAGCAGATTCTGTGCCATTTGAGGGGAAGGGCCCTCATTGGTAACCATGATTCCCAGGTATCTCGTCGGTTCCCCAGGACTCTCCCACGTCATGTCAGCTTCTGGGCCTGCCATAGGGGGTATCTCCTCCTCTGACAACCACCAGCCCACCGTTTTCTACCAGTTTATCTTCATTTCTGAAGCTAATCTGAACGTTTCCATCGCCCTGACTATTGCTCTTACTAAGGAATATGATGCCCTAATGAGAACAATGAGATCATCTGCGAACATTATCACCGTCAGAAACTGGATATGGTGGGGTGAACCGGTGTTGAGCTCTGGGAGCCTGTGGATTGATGGGTCTTTGCGTAAGAAGGATGCTATGGCCTCCATTACGAAAAGGAAGAATGGTGGGGCTAGGGGATCGCCTTGCCTCACCGACCGGGAAATCTGATATCGGTCGGATAGCAGCCCATTGACTTGTACACATCCTGATGCATCATTGTAAAGGACTTTGAGCCACTTTCTGAAATTGGGTCCCACTCCCATTTTCTCCATGCTCTCGTCGAGGAAGGCCCAGTTCACTTGGTCATAAGCCTTCTCAAAGTCGAAGAATATAATTGTTATGTTCAATCTATTTTCCCTGACTTTCCTTGCTGCTTCATTTAGTGTGAGGACATTGTCTAGTATATACCTCCCTGGGATGAAGCCAACTTGGTCTATATGGAAGCATTTGTTTGTAATATCCAGAATCCTTAGAGCCAATGTTTTAGCCAAAATCTTGTAGGGAAGGGTAAGTAGTGAGATTGGCCTGTAGTTCCTGATGTCGTCCCGGTCCCCCTTCTTGTATAGCAGATCTCCCATTCCTCCTTTCTCCCAGCTGTCCTCGTAGAAGTGGAGAAGGTCTGTTCCCATCAACGGCCAGGCTTGTTCCCAAAATTCTTTGGTTAATCCATCAATTCCCGGAGATTTATCATTGTTCATGCAATGGACCGCCGCTTTTAATTCATCTATAGTGATTGGTTTGTCCAAGTTAGTGGCCTGCTCCGTTGTAATCGTTTTGTCTAGATAGTGCAGCATTTTGGATCTGGTTTCCCTTACTAATGTTGGTGGAGTGGAGGCTGTCTTAGACTCATATAGCTCTTTGTAGAACCCTTTGGCTATTTCTAGCATACCCTCACTGTCCTTCCTCGTGATCTGATTCCCTGATAACTCTTTGAGCCCTTCTATTGAATTCGACCTTTGGTTGGCCTTTATTTTCACAAAGAAGTATTTGGTCATTGACCCATTTAGTTCGTACTTTGTCATTCTTGCTCTTATATGTAGGCCTTTCAATTCCCATTGTCTCCATAGAGCCAATTCTTCTCTTGCATGTTCAAATGTGGCTGAGTAGAGGGCTGAGGAGGGTTGGTTTATCAGATTGGATTCGGCAATCCTAAGCGCTATTTCCAAAGATTGTTTCCTTGCCTTCCTATCATTAGCCAATTTCCTAGACAGACGGGCTACCGATTGTGATAGTGAGAGGTAGCTGTCTTGGAACCATTTCCATCTGTCTTGTCCTTCTAAGAGCATGCCTTTCGAGTTTTTCCAGCATTCTTGAACTCCATCTAAGAAGGCTTTGCTTAGGAGCAGGGAGTTGTTCAGCTTGTGAAAGCTAGATCCTTTGGTGATATATTGGTCAAAGCTGAAGATTAACTCGATTGGTTTGTGGTCCAGTCCTGAGTAGGATGCCAGTGTCAGGATGTGTGTTTCTTAATGGTACCCATCAAACTCTCCGAGGTAAGGAAGTAGTCGATCCGAGAGAAGGTTGTGTGATGTGCATGATTCTTCTTGACTAATGAGAAAGCTTTTCTGTTGGGGTGTAGGGTCTGGAACGGGTCCACCAGACTATTGTCCAGCATAAGTTTCAGCATCGGTGCCGCTTCATGGGTGGCCTGGGAGGCTGCTGCCCGAGAGATCCTATCGTTATTTGGGTCAAGGGTCGCGTTCCAGTCCCCTGCTATGATGCATGTTGTGAGTGGTAATACAAGCTGTCCAACAATTCGTATAAACTATGTCCTCTCTGTTGGGTTATTGGGTGCATAAATGTTGATAATTTTGAATTCTTCTTCTTTCCATCTCATATCCATTATACACCATCTTCCCGTTTCGCTGTCCGCATCCGCTCCTTTTATTGAACCTGCCGTGTAAAGTCTTGATGAGTTCGGGATCAGGATCACTGTGCCTTTCGTGCTTGAAGTGCTGTCTGACGCCCACACTTCATCCTTTACTCCTAGCCTCCTTGTGAAAAAAATTCTTATTTTTGTATGTTCCTCTGAGTTGGTTAGATGCGTCTCCTGTAGGAGTATGATATCGGCTGGTTTATTTGAGTAGTCTTTGAGTCCTTTGATTATGTCCTTTAATTTATCCTCCTTGGATACAATATTTCCCAACCCGTTCACATTCCAACTGCGAACTACAATTCCTTGTCTTCTCCAGTTCACTTGTGTACTCCTTCTATTAGCTTCCTTCCTCAACAGGTCCATATCCTACTTTGTCATATGGTTTGGGAAGAGCCTATCCTATTTATGTGGCCCCGGAGCCCCCAGTCTCCATTGACTCAATTGCACCATCCGGGGAGTCCGACTGAGTGTGCGTCAGGGAGTCCTCCAGCCTGTATTCCCCTATGTTGTCGCTTCCACCCTTTGTCGGTGGTGTCCCCTCCTCTTGTTCCTCCTCATCCATGTCCCACTCATCTTCTCCCTCTTCCATCTCTCTGTCAGAGCATTCATCTCTATAGTATCTTTCCATGTCAATTGCGAAGGATCTGGAATCCAAATCGTCGTCCACCTCGAAAATCCCCTTGCTAATCAGCTCAGCTAAGGCAGCGGCCGACAGTTCAGCAGGTACTCCGATCCCTGACATCACGTTGTAAGGGATGGCTGTCACCGTGTTCCACGACCTCCATTTCATCCCGCTCCTCAATTTGGTGCATACGGGCATTTTCGCGATGAGAAGGGTGAACGACCTAGGTGATCTGGGGTTTATCTTGTTGTCGAGCTCACGTAGATCCTCTTGTGGTTCTCTCAGTGTTTCGTTCCCCTGTTCAGGGGCTTCAATCTCAAAGACCCCCAGTGGGTAGGCTGTTGTGATTTTCTCTTGGAGAACCAAGGCGACGTTCTGCCCTTTGCCGATCCTAGGGATTGCAAAAGACACATCAGTGGTGACCTGCCATTCTCTCTTCTCCTCAATGAACCGAGCCGCCAGAAGAGGTCTCGGCCTTGCAGATTGCGCTTGTCCCAGTACCTCTGGGGCCTTTCCATCTGCAATCTGTTTGAGTGTGAAGAACTCCGCCTCATAGGCCGTGTTCAATTTCTTGAGCTTCTTTGTCTGGGCTTCCACAACCGCAATTTCCTGCTCAAGTTCACTTCTTGCTGATTTCTCTGCTGGTCGCTTTTCAGCCTGGCTTCTGCTGTTCCCTTTCTTGTTCGGGTTCATGGAGGTCTTCCATTTTTTAGATCTCACATCGCACAATGCATCCTTGGAGTCAACTTGTGTTATGTCCTTGTCCTTGTCCTTAATTCCTTGTTCCCTTGACCTCTTCTTCTCAACATATCTGAAAGCTGCATACTTAGAGAACTCCTCTGCTTTGACCAGGAGGTCAAACTGGTTGGGGGATGTCTTGATGCCTACAATTGTGTTCGTTTTTTTATTATGCGTTCTTTCCATGTGCATCGAGAAACTGTAGTGGGTCAATCTGCACGATAACACAGTGGAAACAAACGAATGAAAGACCCAACCCATCCTTCTCAGTTTCATACAAACAGACCTTGTTAAAAGAACAATTTTGGGTCGAGTTTGACAGAATCCAGCCAAGATTCCACGGGCTGGTGGTAGACAGACTGGAAAGACAATACCTGGCAAACAAAATCATCAAATGGATATTACCAATGCCGGACTTCTTGCCCCCCCATGTGGGAACGATGACTATAGTCTTGGAAGTGAAGGCCGACGACCCACCGGTCTTCCCTCCAATGTGGGAATTCCAACTCCAGGACAGGGTGCAGGAAATCACGGTCTCCACTAAAACGTCCCCTATCTGCTTTAGATGCAGAGAAAGGGGCCATGTGGGATCGGATCCCCCGTGCCCCAAGTACCCAAAGAATCAGAAGGAGAAGAAGTTGCTTCCCAACAAGCTGGTCGAGGTAGAGGGTGCTCCGAGGACATGGTACATAGTTGATCCCATGTATGATGGCTGGGTCTTCGACGAGAACCTGGAGGAACCGGAGTGGGTGTGGCATTTCACAGATAAGGAACCAACGACGAAGAAACCCGACATCTTCCCTCTGGCAGATAGCGGATGGCAGAAAAAGGCCACAGGGAAAGAGACAGACAACCCAGCGAAGATCAGAGCAGTCCCGATCAATGACTCCCGGGTCATTCTGGAGGAAAAGACAAGAGAGAACCTGATCTGGGACTTGGATCTGGTACGGGAACAGGTGGAAGAAGAATATAAAAAAAAAAACAGAGATGTCCCAAACCAGAATCCAAAATCTCATCATCATCAGGGAGGAAGAGGCAAAACAGAAAGCAGCCCATAAACAAACAGAGGTCAAGAGAACTTTGAAAGAGGGAAGGAACAAAGAGGGAGGTGAACCTGACACTAAAAAGAGAAGAGGGATAGAGACTGATAACAGCGAAAGGCTACTATCCCCCCCTAAAGAGGACCAGCAAGTAGACCAAACTGAAGAAGATCAGGGGTGCAGTGGAAAGTCTACTGAAACCACCGAAACTTCTGCTCCCAGCAGCGAGGACGATGAATCGTCGACGATCCAGCAAGGAGATCCCTCCAATGGCTGTTTCTGCTGCGATCCTTGCATGCTCTTCCGAATTGAAGATCACCATTACTGCTGTGCGGCCCAGGTTCATCAGTGAAAAGGATTCAGTTGGAGATTTCAATTTGTCTTCTTTTCTGATTGTTTCTGTTATCCACTTCCTTTTCTCTGCTGGCATCAGGTCCGCTCCATTTCTCGCAAAGTTGAAAACAACTGCGTGTTTCTCGTGAAATTCATCAAATTCAGCTACTTTGCCGTCTGAATATTTCCAGATAATTGTTTCTTCTTCATCCCCTTCCGTGTTGTGATGTTTCTTGATCACTCTTTCCCCTTGAACTTTAGTTTTTTCAATGATAAATTTCAAGACTTCGTTGTCGATGATTTTTCCTGATCCTCTGTTTGGCTGTGACGTGCAGCCATTTGCAGATGTCCCTTGGAGAGTTTGTTTGAAAGACCCTGGGGTCCCAACGGTCCCAGGGCTCTGCATTTCTGTCTCTCCTAGTGACGGCCTTGCGAGCGAGGTGTGTCACTTGATTGGACTCCGTGAGCTGGCTTTTCTAGTTTGGAAGCGGTCTGACTGTGGTCTGAAACGTTAGTAGGGAGATAGCCAACAGGAGGGGGAGAGAAGGTGGTTAGAATTGGTAGGGGGTGGGTCTGTGAACTCTAGTTCTGGGATCGTGATTGGGTTGTGCTAGACAACGATATAAAGGTCTAGGGATACTATGGGGGAAGGCTCGGTGTGGCTATGTCGAAGGGACTATCGAGGGGCTGGAGTGCGAGACAGGGTGTGTAATAGGGATTGCCCGTGGGAGGGTGGGAGCTGCTATGTCATGCGTTGGGAGAGATTCTTCGGGGGAATGTGGAGGTTAGTCGCTTGTAGAGAAGCTTGGTTGGCGGGGGGGGG